AAAACCCTCTTTCCTAATGGGTGGGTGCCAAGGGGTGGAGGAGGAGGAGGACAGCTGGGCTCTGGCTGGGCTCTCATCCTCCCTGATGCCACCGGGGAGCATGCAGGAGCTGGGCTCGTCTCTCCAGAGCTCTCTAAGTGGGAAGTAGAGCCTACTAGATTGATTTTCTCCCCCTGGCCCTCAAAGGAAACCTTCTCCTCGGAGGCTGAGAAGATTTGCAGGCTAAGAGTTGTTGCTTTTCACCAGAGGGGATTGAACAAAGAACGTTTTTCTGACAAACAGTTTTTCAGTGGTGCCGGTGTTAACCCGGCCATGGGGACCACGTGGAGGTGGTTGGCATCCATCCTGATGTTCAGAGCATATCTGCAGCCTGATCTACGGTGGAAAAATGAAAAAACGGGGCATTTTGGGGCTTTTTTAATAGAGCCAAGGACAGAAATCCGCTCTTCAAGGTCCCTTCTCGAGACCCGTCTCATGGGCAAAGTGTCAGTGTGGGAGCACGAAGGGACTCGGGGAGGGTGAGAGGGCATTCACCCCCAGGAGTCCAAAGGGTCCAGAGCCACCAATACCCAAGAGCTTTCCCAAATGAACCCCCTCTGGTCTGGGAAAAGATTCCCAGCATCCTGAAGGTCCCATGGGAAGGAGGTGGCACAGGGGCTGCTGTTTCCTCTGAGAGCCGAGGCTGGAGCTGGAGGGTGATTTATTCCTTGTGGGGAGGAGAGAGGGCACAAGACCCTGAGAAAAGCTCTGGGCAAGGAGAGCCGGGGCATGGGGAGCATGAGGGGTGGTGGGAGAGCACTCAGCTCCATGGCCTAAACGAAGGGAAAAGTGAGGGAGGGCTCGTAGGAGCAGCAGGTGGCAAAGGGACACCAGAGGCTCCCGTGGGGCTGCATGCTGGCCTGTGCACCCCACATCACTGATCACAGGTCCTTGGGGAGGGCTGATGTGCCCTTCCAGCTGTGACACCCCAATCCCACCTCCCCAGGCTCGAGCAGCTAGGGGGCAACACCAGAAATAACAACACCAACCCCTGCCCTAGCTCCTTCCCTCTTTGCAGTCCCTCCAAGCTGTCTCCCATCTCCTCACTCCTGGGGCTTTCTAGGGTCTTCTGCTGATTTTGCTGAAGGAGCTGCCATGCCGGGTGCTCCTGGCCCCGCAGAGCTGTGCCACGACTGTCACCAGAGAGACAAAGCTGCTGAGCCATGGTGCTGCCACCGCGGTCCCCAACCCCCCTCCCAGGGCTTGCAGCAAGCACCCAAGCAGGGAGCTGCTCCCAGAGCACCCATCCCTTCTCCCCTGCCTTTATGCCTGGTTTGGGGGGGCACAGAGTGAGCACAGACTCCAACCTTAGCCATGAACCAGGGCTGGCTTAGAGGATGCTGAGTTCGCTCTTGCAGCCCAAGTAGAGGGGATGAGGAATGGCTGGAGGGGGCCCAGCCCGGGTGGTGCCGATCCCCTGCAGCTCCAGAACAGTGCGTGTTGTTGCAGATGGCTATCAGGACAGCTGCAGAGGTCGTGCAGACCTCAGGTCCTTGGATTAACGCGAGCTCCTGTGGTCCAGACTGTGTAACACACACACACAGCAGAGCAACTACCCCGGCTGCTTGTCCGCCTCCCCGCTTCGGCGCACATCCCTCCCACCTTGTCACTGCACATCCGCCCTCCTTGCTGCACATCCATCCCTCCTCCTTGCTCATCCATCCCTCCTCGCTACCCATCCATCGCGTCTCGCATCCCATCCATCCCTCCTCAATACACATCCATCCCTCCTCAGTGCACATCCATCTCTCCCTGGCCCTGCACACCCATCCCTCTTTGCCTCACACCGACGGCCCCACCTCTCTTGCCCATCCATCCCTCCTCTTTGCTGCACATCCATCTCTCTGCCACGGTCCACATCCGTCCCTCCTTGCTTCACATCCATCTCGGTCACCTCTCTGCAATGTGCCCGGCCTGACACACACGAGAGTTGGAGGATCAGGACCTGGCTCTCCCTGCTCCTCGCTCCACTTTGCACCATGGGTTTTAAGTGGGAGAGCAAAGCCTGTCCGTGCATCCCTCTGCACGTGCGCACCACAGTCACAGGAACCACGGCTGAACCTGAAAAAATCCACAGAAAACAGTAATACTTGGAGCTGGGGCTTTTGTTCCTTCAAGCAACAAGCCAAGGACAGAGACCACTGCAGCACTCTTGCTCCCTGGGGGCTCACAGGTTCCCCTCTGTCCCATGTCAGCCCTACATGGAAAATGACAAAAACTGTAAAATGACTCTGAGTTCCTCCTCTGTGCAGCCCACAGGGTCTGACCGTGCTGCTCTCATGGGGCTCAGCTGCTCTGCAGGCTGCAAACCCTACTCAAAGGAGGGAAATACAAAATCCCACCTAGTGCTCAACCCCATGGCCTGGGGCTTTTGGAGGGAGGGACAATTAGCAGAGGGGTCAGGGATAGAATTTGCTGTGTTTCTTCCTTGGTTACATCATAAAGAAAAAGCATTTCTCATTCACCTCATTTTGCATTAATATGATAGGGCTGGAGTTTGGGACTGGTCCGGGAGGCAGAAGCACTAGGAAAAGCTGATAATGGCTCACAATTAATAAATAATCTTATTATTACCATCAGCATTGGAACAATTGCTAGCATCATTGTAATTTTATTACTGCTATTATTTTTATTAACAGCTGTGACTAAATCATCTGTCGTAATAGTCACCACCATCATCACACAATTTGGGTTTGTTTCTTTTGTCTGTGGGGTTTTGAGCCTGACCATAATTGCTTGATTTCTTCCTCCCGCCCTCCCTCACTGGTGGTTTTTGTACCATCCCTCCCTCCCAGAGATGGGCATCGCCCCAAGTCCTCCTGAGTGCTCTGCCAAGGCCAGGAGAAAGGAGCCTGGAGCAAAGCAACCATCCAGCCTCGTTGATGTCCTGGTGAAATGGGATGGGCAGGAGATTTGGTTTGCCCTCACTGGTGGTTTTTGTACCATCCCTCCCTCCCAGAGATGGGCATCGCCCCAAGTCCTCCTGAGTGCTCTGCCAAGGCCAGGAGAAAGGAGCCTGGAGCAAAGCAACCATCCAGCCTCGTTGATGTCCTGGATGGGCAGGAGCTTTGGTTTGGTGTGGAACAAAAAACTCTTTGAGGGTTTGGAAGATAATGCAAAGAGGCAAAATATCAATTACTGAGAGAGTGCTCTTTGCACCCCCAGAGGAAATGGAAGAAGTGATGGTTAGAGGCGGAGGCAAATTGTCCCCAAGGGCTGTGCAGAGCTGACAGGGAGACATGGAGCAGGTTGCTCCAGGGAGAGGTGCTGCCTCATGGAGGGATGCTCCAGGAGATGTTGCAGCCAAAGTTTCTTGGGCTGAGGATGCAGTCACTGGGGCACTTTGAGAGGCCCTTTTTCTCCAGGAGATCACGAAATGCTCTGCAGACCCTCATCCTGAGGACACTACCTGCCCTCATTTCCCTTTGCTTGTCATTCTCAGACTAGATTCAACCTCTTCTGTCACATCTTTGTGTGTCCAGACCTCTGCATCCCTCTCTGCTACAGCCAAGGGAGCCCAGCTCAGCCCAGGACCCGCTCTTTAGGTGTCTGGCGCTGGGTGAGCAAAGCTCCCATGGTCATCTAACATATCAGGACACATCTGAAAGCTAACGGAGAGCAGCGTATCCATTGCATTTGACATTTGTCTAGGGCCCTGTTCCCCAAGAGAGAGACAAAAGCTCATTTCCTAGATCTCCAACACGCAAGTCAACCCAAATCTAACACTCAGGAAGCATCTCCTCTTGTTTTGGCTGAAAAAGCTTCAAAGACTCCAGGTCTGGTTTGAACAAAATTTGTCTTTTGCTATTTCTGTGAATATCCTTTTCACCCAGAAAACACTTGCAGTTGTCCAGCTGGCCCCAAGATGCGGCTTTTGCTCTGGTAGGGTTCATTGCAGTGCAATTCCTAGGGAATTAATTCACTAATGAAGGCAGGCCATCGCTAATGAAATGAAGCTGGAGCCAACGTGGTAGGAGGAAAGGAGGCCAAGCTGACATGAAGCTCATCTGCATTATGAACACAGCAAGGAAAAGCAGCCAGAGCATGTCCTGATCTAATTGAAAATCTCCAGACAAAAGTGCTTTGATCTCAGAGGATTTTGGTTTCTGCTCCTTTTTTTCCTGGCTGCATCTTTGATTCAGATCTCTCAGTGTCCTGGAGGCCACTGGGTGGGAACGCTCAGATGTTGGTGTTCAAAGCTGCTCAGAAATGCAGAGCTGAGAAATGCAAAGTGTTCCGCGGGTTCTGCGAGGGCCAATCTCAGCTGCGGCTCCCGGCTGGGACAAGGAGGTCCCTGGGCACCCACACAAGATGGGAAGTGCTGCAGAAGGGACGCTGTCTGGCAGAGGAACCCTGATC